TTGTCGCAGGTTTTCAAAGGAGAGGAACACCCCGTCATTTACCTCAGCCAGAAATTAAAACCCCATGAAGAAAATTATGCCACTATTGAGAAAGAATGCTTGGCAATTAAGTGGGCTCTAGATTCTCTCCGCTACTATCTTTTGGGAAGACAGTTTGAACTAGTAACAGATCATGCTCCCTTGAAATGGATGGCCCAGAACAAAGAGACCAATAGGAGAGTGAATAAGTGGTTCTTGGCCCTTCAAGAATTCAGTTTCAGCATACAGCACCGGCTACTAGAATGGGGAATGCAGATGCCCTGTCCCGAGTACACACTTGCTTGCAACCCCAAGGTTGAAACAAGAGGGGGGGGGGTATGTGACAGGAGGTCAGGAAGAACTACGGGATGTATTCAAGATGGGAGATATATTTGTCCCAGGTTTATGCTCTACACTGACTGTTTTCCTGTTGTGCTGTGTGGTGAGCCTGTGTGGCTCACTGTGGATAATTAGCTCAGGTGTAGTGCATTAAGGGCTCTGGGCTCTATAAAACTCCCAGGCTGCATAGGGAGATTGCTCCATCCTGGAACCAGTTGGCTATGTAAGACAGACTGGGGAGCAACCAAACCAACCTATGGTGAAAAACAATCTCTGTGATTTTGGAACTGTGTGAACACCCTGGGTCTGAGCAGTGGTAGGCTGCATACAGACCGCTAGATAGGAAAGCTGTGTGTTGTAGTTAGTAGCCCAGTGTGGCCAGGCTTTATTTTTTTTTTTTGTTTGTTTTGCTGGGTTTTTTTATGCACAGTGTGTTCACTGGACTTTGTAAATAAATGCACAAAACTTATTCACCAAGTACCTGCTGTCGTGCTAAGCTTCTGTTTATGGTGTTCTGACCCATCCAGGGGGTCAAGCACAACCTGCTAGTGAGCTAAGCCCTCACAATACACATTGGTGAATGTCTACGGTCCTAACACCAATCAACTCCATTTCTTCAACAAGCTTAACTCCATTATAAATCAACACAGAAAAGGCAGACTACTCATCGGCGGAGACTTTAACACTATAAGGAACCCTCTTCTTGACACATCATCCAAGACAAGATCTTCAAAACAGTCCTTCAACCAATTTCTTCACTCCAACGATCTTTACGACATCTGGAGATGTCAACATAGCACAGAAAAGGACTATACCTACTATTCTCTATATCACTTATCCTCATCCAGAATCGAATTCTTCATCACCGATAAATGGACTCTACAACACGTCACCTCCTCCAAGATTGGTACCATCACTTGGTCAGACCATGCTGTGACAGCAAACAACATTGGTCATTCCCTTGACAGCAAACAACATTCATCGATACCCCGATTATGGCGATTGAACTCGATCTTGCTGAAAAACCAAGACTACAAGCAACAAATAATTGATGCACACAAGTCATTTTTTTGAATTTAAAGATACCCTTGATATATCCATAACCACTTTGTGGTCAACCTATAAAGCATACATGAGAGGTATTCTGATACAACTAAACAATCGCGTTAACAAAAACAAAACCCAACAAATAGATAATCTCCTAACCTCAATGAAAAACAAATGAGGAAAAAAAAAAAAAAATCCCAAGACGCAACAATCTCTTCGTCCCTGACAGCAGATAGAAATAAATTAAGATCCCTTCTACTCTACAAATATGATCTAAGTCTCCAAAAAATGAAAGCGAAATTCTACTCACTAGGTAACAAAGCCAGCTCGTTGTTAGCCAAATCGGTAAAACAAAAACGGCTGAAATCCAAAATAGCCTCAATTAAACACCCATCTGCGAATACCCTAAATACAAACCCACAAGACATAGCTAATGCCTTCGCAGAATACTACCAAAACCTATATAACCTTAAAAACGACCCTGACACCATTCAACCAACAACCACCTCCATACAACAAATGACCAATCTTCCTCAACTATCCTCAGACCAACTTGACACCATTTCTTCCCCAATATCACCCAAAGAAATAGAAACGACCATTAAAACACTCCCAATTAACAAATCACCAGGAAACAACGGATACACTAACGAATACTATAAACACCTTTCCACGGCCTTATCACCACTCCTGACCAAAACTCTTCAATCACGCTGCCACCACAGGCTCATTCCCCAAAGACATGTTGCAATCCATCATAACAACTTTACCAAAACCTGGCAAAGACTCCCAACTTGTCCAAAACTACAGGCCAATTTCGTTACTCAATACCGACATAAAACTATACGCGAAAATCTTATCCCGAAGAATTCTCCCCTACCTCCCCCACCCTAATTCACCCCAGATCAAGTAGGTTTCATCCCAGGTCGCCAAGCACCCGATGCTACCAGAAGAATTATCTCCCTCCTACATAACCTAGAAAGTACCAAGAGCCCCTCCTTATTCCTATCTCTAGACGCAGAGAAAGCATTCGACCGGATACATTGGCAATCCATGGAACTCACTATTCAAAAATTCGGCATCACAGGTTGGATGCTGAACGCCATCTTGTCATTATATTCACATCCATCTGCTAGAGTACTGACAGATGGCACATTATCTGACTCCTTCGACATCTCAAACGGTACAAGACAAGGCTGCCCACTCTCCCCAATAATATTTACACTCCTTATTGAACCCTTAGCATCCAAACTCAGAGCGGACCAATCATTTACAGGAATCGCACACCCTCAACATGGAACACAAAATTAGCCTGTTTGCGGACGATATTATGTTGATGGTGACCAACCCAAAAAGATCCCTCAAAATGATTCCGCACAGATATATACCTACTCAACAGTCTCATATTACAAACTTAACGAACCCAAATCTTCCATACTAAACCTTCACATCTTATCCCAACTCCAAACCCAACTAGCCAAACAATTCCCTTTCTTATGGGAAACGAACATTCCCTACTTAGGAATCAGACTCACCACCGACGACAAACCAACTATACACAGCAAATCATAAAATTTTTGCATGCAACTATCCCCCGAGAACTAAACACTTTACGCACTTCAGAACTCTCCAAACTAGGCCGAGTGGCAACTCTGAAAATGTCCATTTTTTCCAAAAATCTTATACATATTCCGCACACTCCCCAAACCAATCCCTAACTCATTCTTTTCTAGCCTACAAACAATCCTCACAAAGTTCCTATGGAACTCGAAAAAACCAAGATGTATCATGAATCTCTTAATGTGCCCTACAGCTAAAGGAGGAGCAGGACTCCCACACCCTCAAGTCTTATTACATAGCTACTCTTTTAGACCAATATATTTCTGGTGGAACCTATCAAAAGAAAAAATTTGGTCCATAATGGAAACCCTCCCTTTTCAACCACTTAAGCCCCAAAATATAATCCTGACTCCACTGGCCAACCGAAAAGAACCCCAACTAAAACACCCCTACATTAAAGCCTCCCTACAAGCTTGGCAGGACCTCCTTTCCACTAAATTTAAAGACTTCAAACATATACCTACTCCAACCAATATACTACACCTTCTCATCCCCTCGCTAGACTTATCTCAATGGACAAAACAAGGGATAACCAATATAGCAGACCTCTATATGAATCAACCTATATGCCCTTCCAAATTCTCCAAACCAAATATATTCTCCCTACTACTAAAAACTTTACATACCTAAGAATTGCTCACTGTCTACAAACATCTATCTTACCCCACACCACTATGATACCAATTACAGCGTTCATCTTCTTCACCAAACCTCAATAACCAGGCAAAGGTACATCCACCTTTTATACATATCTCACAAACTTACAACTTACTCTACAAACAACCTCCCTAACCACCTGGGAAAAAATCCTAGTACATCAAATAACTTTAAAATGCTGGGAAAATACCTTCAACATCACCTATAGAGCTACCCGATGCAGCTCCCATTGGGAGTCATGCCTAAAAGTACTCCACCAATGGTACCTGACCCCGGTCAAACTCTCCATCTACTACCCGAAACAGTCTCCTACATGCTGGAGACAATGTGGCGAGCCAGGCTCAACACTACATATTCTTTGGTCATGTAAGTCACTCAGATCCTTCTGGAATACTACTTTTCAATTAATCTCCGAAATAAACAAAATATTGTTAACACCGAACCCCTCATTAGCACTCCTACACATCAGGATCGAGAAACTCCATCCTCGTTCCCAAACAATTATTACCCACATACTCTTTGCCGCCAAAATTAACATTACCAGATTATGGAACACAAATAAAACCCCCTCAACCACATCATTAAATACAGACCTTAACACCCAATGTGAAATGGAAAAATTATCCGCAATTAATACTTCTTCCTATCACAAATTTAATAACCAATGGACCCGATGGCGAAACCACCCAAAATGTTCTGTACAATGCTGATGACATTTTACTAGTCGAATTACCATCCAAACCGAGACTGGTATCTCCTCAATTACTCAGTTATATCCCTCCTCCCCCAATCCTCTCCTTCCCCACCCCCCCACCAAAACCCCCCTAACAACCCAACTCCCCACCAAAGGTTTATCATACATATATGAATACCTCTGATGATATTGCTAAACAAGATCTACACCTCCACCTACCATTGTGTGGAACAACAAAAATACTCAACCATGTATTGTCTAATGTAATATTTAGAGATGAGCGAATTATTCAAAAATTCGGTTCGGCTGATTCGCCGAATTCGCCAAATAAATTCGCTTCGAGCCGAATATATTCGTTGTGAATTTAACTTATAAAAAGGGTGTTTCTAGGCTTCAGAGAGCCTTTATATTAGTGCAGAACACTGTACCTTTAATTTAAATGCCCTTGGAGTCTGCTGGGGAAGAGAAATAATACTGTCAGTCAGTATGACATGCAGATGAGTGCCGTCGATCTTAGAATCACCGCACACTTCACTCATTTGGGCAGTCACGGGGCCAAAACCAGAGTGTGGAGCCACAGTGTGGCGGTGGAGGCAGCAGCAATGGGAGGCCATACAGCACCCTATGACAAAATGGAACCCACCAGCAGTGAGAGGAGACCTGAAAGTGGCACATGGCAGAGTGTGGCGATGGAGACAGCAGCAATGGGAGGCCGTACAGGGACCCATGACACACTCTGGACCTGGCAGCAGCATGAGGAGGCGGTACAGGGGCCCATGACAGATTACGGGCCTGGCAGCAGCATGAGGAGTCGGTACGGGGGCCATGGCAGATTACGGGCCTGGCAGCAGCATGAGGAGGCGGTACAGGGGCCCATGGCAGAGTGGCGGAGCGTAAGCAGCTAAAATTGAAGGCCATACAGAGGCCTATGTTAAAAAGTCCCCCCAGCAGCAGCGTGGGGAGACGACTATCAAGAGTCCAATGGCAGAGTGGCGGAGCAGAAGCAGCTTCAATTGAAGGCCATACACAGGCCTAGGTTTAAAAGTCCCTCACAGTTAATTCCAATAACGAACTCTACTCCTCCGTGCAATCTACTTACGAGACCCTGGGCAGGTCTGGGTCCAATTTGTGGTAGAGACTGGTTTTGTTCAGCCATGTTTGAGCGAGTAATAACAGGTCTGTGCTGCCCTTTGGTGTCTGGCTTAATGCGCACAACACTGAACGTCCCAGCGTTTGTCAACGATTTGCCGTTAAGTGATGCAAACCCGCTGAACCACGTTCATGAGGAGCCGGTACAGGGGGTCATGAATCAGTATGGACCTGGCAGCAGCGTGAGCGGACGACAGAGGCACATGGTGCAGGGTGGCGGTGAAGGCAGCATTATTCTGAAGCCATACACAGGCCTAGGTTAAAAAGCGGAAGCCGTCAGCAGCGTGAGCAGACGACAGAGACACATGGCGCAGGGTGGCGGTGGATGCAGCAGTATTCGGAAGCCAAACACAGGCCTCGGTTAAAAAGCGGAAGCCGTCAGCAGCGTGAGCAGACGACAGAGGCACATGGCGCAGGGTGGCGGTGGAGGCAGCAGCAATGGAAGGCCATACAGCACCCTATCCCAAAATGGAACCCACCAACAGTGTAAGGAGACCTGAAAGTGGGCACATGGCAGAGTCTGGCGATGAAGTCAGCAGCAATGGGAGGCCATACAGGGACCCATGACACACTCTGGACCTGGCAGCAGCAAGAGGAGGCGGTACAGGGGCCCATGGCAGAGTGGCGAAGCGTAAGCAGCTTAAATTGAAGGCCATACAGAGGCCTATGTTAAAAAGTCCCCCCAGCAGCAGTGTGGGGAGACGACTATCAAGAGTCCAATGGCTGAGTGGCGATCCAGGAAGTCAGCGTTGTGATTGCAGATGCAATGCAGAGATTCTATGAGGTGATGCCGTGGGTGCGAAGAAGATCATATACCGTCGTACTTCCATCCATAAGACGGAACAACCTGCGAACCGGGAGCTTTATTGCCCTGACCCGCTGAGCAGCTTCTGAGGTGGTAGAGGCGGACATCTTTGCTGGACCAGGACGTGCAAACGTGGAGGCAAAAGCGGCGTGACCTGTCCAAGTTGCTGGTGCGGCTGTGCCGGCACCACGTTCACCCAGTGGGCCGTAAATGACATGTACTGTCCCTGACCGTAGTTACAGCTCCACACGTCGGCGCTGCCATGCACTTTGGCAGAGACCGACATGCTCAAAGACTGGCCCACCATCTCTTCTACATGTGAATGCAGGGCTGGCACTGCCTTTTTGGCGAAGAAATGCCGGCTTGGCACTCTCCACCGCGGCTCGGCACAAGCCATCATTTCTCGAAAAGGTGCTGCGTCCACCACTTGGAAAGGGAGGGACTGCAGCACCAGCAACTTGGACAGGAGGACGTTCAGCTTCTGCACCGTCGGGTGCGTGCTCGCAAACTGTTGTCTCTTGGAAACGGATTCCAAGAAAGACTGCTGACGGAATCCGTGAAGAGGAGTAGCAGGAGAAGGAGCATCTGAACGAGCGGAAGATGCCAACGAGCGACAACTCCCCTCAGCAGAGGTGTTGGAGCCTTGACTGGCTGATAGAGGGCGATTGACGTCGGGTGACGGAGCAAGTAACGGAGCGGGTGATGGAGCGGGGGCTGGGGCAGGCAGAATCGCCGTATCTTTATCACGGTTTTCCCAGGCCACCGAATGGCGACGCTGCATATGCTGACGCAACGCTGTAGTCCCAACATTGGCCCCCTGGCCACGCTTGACTTTCTGGCCACATAGTCGACATACGGCTACGTTTACTTCCTCGGGCGGCTTGACGAAAAATTGCCACACCGCCGAGTAGGAAACTTTGCCCCCGATACTCCTCACTGGCTGACTGCTACTTCCTCCGTGCACCGCGGCACCACTACTGGCCGTGGTGGTAGGCTGCAGTGGAGCTGGTGCTCTACTCCGTGGCCGTTTGGCTCCACTGACACTGCTGCGACCCTGCTGCCTCCTGGGCAACCCACCGACTGTTTTGCTCGCTGGCAAGCTGGCACCCTCTTCTCCTGATGATGCGGAAGCAATAGCCTGATGACGACGAGGCTGCCAAGTGCGATCAGCCTCATCATCATCAATTAGGGTCTCCGCGTCACTACTAGCCCCCTCGGCTGCGTGTGGGTCAGGAGACAGACCTGTCTCTAGACCGGCTACCGAGCCACTCTCCTCGCCACTACTTCTTCGCCTGGCTGCTGAAGAGGCGGATGTCTCCCCCCGTTCCTGACCGCCCTCTGTTAGCTCTTCCTCACTGTACAGTGGGGCTGAGCCCACAGCATGCGATACTTCGCTTGGTGAGGGAACACCAAAGGACAGGGGCAGGTCGAGGACACGTGATTTCAGTGGGCTTGCTCCCGGGCCATGCCAACTAACGGTTGTGTCTGACGTACCCACCGACCGTTGGCTGTAGGTGTCAGAGGTGACCTGGGAAGAGGAAGATGACCGAGTCAACCAATCGATGACGGCAGGGTTGTCGGTGGAGACACGACCGCTGGATGACACCGGGAGCACTGGCCTCTGGCTGCGACTAGTGCTGCCTCGACCCCTTCCTCTGCTGCCACGTCTGCTCGCTCCTGAAACATTGCCTCCTCTGCCACTCCTCTGCGTGTTGTCTGACATACTCTTTAATTCAATAAGCACCCCAAAAATAAAACTGGATTTAACTCTTTGAACGTACAATAGTGGTTGTGAAGCAGAAAGTCAGTTTATTTAGCACAATCAGTCAATTGCAGCTTGCCGTTGGCTGGAAACTGTACGTTTATGTCACTGGAATGCACTAATCACCCAAAAAATATTACCGCCACCCCGGCGTGTAAATGGATCTAACTCTTTGAACGTACAATAGTGGTTGTGAAGCAGAAAGTCAGTTTATTTAGCACAATCGTTCAATTGCAGCTTGCCGTTGGCTGTAAACTGTACGTTTCTGTCACTGGAATGCACTAATCACCCAAAAAAATATTACCGCCAGCCGGTGTGTAAATGGATTTAACTCTTTGAACGTACAATAGTGGTTGTGAAGCAGAAAGTCAGTTTATTTTGCACAATCGGCAAACTGCACCACCAAAAAAAAAAAGGGTGTATGTCACTTTAAATTTTCGATTCTTTGATAGCTGTGGCCCTAAGTAACGATTCTGTGTCCCTGAGTAACGATTCTGTGTCCCTGAGTAACGATTCTGTGGCCCTAACTCTGTCCCTTAATACACACAGGTCTGTCTCTCTTGAATGACCGGAGGCTAATGGAGAATTCTAAGATGGCTGCGATTTATAGCTCCACCATTACACAGTGCTGGCTGGCTGCTGATTGGCTAATGCGATCACATGTCATGAATGCATTATGGGTCAGCGCGCCTTGTCTGCGCGCCTTCCCAGAGATCCCCACCCCATCTTCTCTGTCCATTTTCTCCGTCGCCACACATGTCGCCGCCATTTTTGGGAAAATTCGATTCGTGCATCCGAAGTTTGCTAATCTTCGGATTCGTCGCGAATAGAATTTTTCCAAATCTTCGGAACGAATTCCACTTTTCGTCATGTTCGATTCGCTCATCTCTAGTAATATTGTATGAATGAACCATATTTCACTTCCTTGTTTTTCTCTGAAAAATTTAATAAAAATATTGAAACATAAAAAAAAGGTGGTCATGGGCCTTTTGAGGTATTGTGCTGCATGGGATAGCATGTTTTTGATATAAAATGCTTACAGTATAGAAAGCGATAAACGTATTTAATGGTTTGTATAGACATGTTACAACAAATTTGTAGCAAAATTGCAGTAAACCAAGATTAGTAAAAATATAAAACAAATGGTTTGTGGTATATCAGGAAACAAATCTAATTCAATTTTTGATTTTTCTTTTATGAACTTTTTCAGTAGGAAAGCGTTCCTGGAAAATAGTTTGTAGTGCTGGCATCTATGATACTGACACATCATTCTCTAGCCAGCTTGCTGTGTTTTTGTACAGGATGACATATGGGTGATTATTAGATAAATAAATTGAATGAAAATGAAATTTCTTAGCAGAACTGCTATACTGAGTACTTACATATTCTGTTTGTGTGAAAAATTACAGAAAAATATAAAATGCCTGAAGAGTCCACTTACCATTTTTAAAAGGCAAGAACATAAAAAATTGTACAACTCACTATTATATTCTCTAGGGCCTCTGCTAAAAAAATATATATAATGTTTGGGGGTTCTAAGTAATTTTTTAGCAAAAAAATACTGATTTTTACATGTAAACAAAAAGTGTCAAAAGGTAGATATTAAAGTGGGCAACATACAAAACAACATATAGAGTGCAACATTAGGATGAGCCCACCTGTTCACATCAGATTCCCCCTTACATTAGGAATCCCCAGAGTCCCTCCTGTCCATGTCAGGGGTCCCCCAGAAAGCAGTGTTTGGAAGTATGATATTGAATTATGGACAACAAGGGGGGGGGATTTACTAAAACTGGTGCACTCATAATATGGTGCAGCTGTTAAGTAACCAATTGGCTTTTAGGTTTCTTGTCACAGCGTAATTTAACAAGTTAGAAGCTGATTGGTTACTATGCACAGTTGCACCAGATTCTGAGTGCACCAGTCTTCGTAAATTTCCCCACAAGAAAGAAAGAAACGGAATGTGCACTGAACATTCATGTCTGCTTGCTGTACCTGTCAGCATAGACTGGAGATTGAGATACACAGTCAGTCCGGCAGTAAATAAGGTTATGTGCAAAGAAAGTTCTGTTATCAATTGAGAAGATTTACTTTAATTTAATACTTTACTTTTGTACTGAGCAGGGCTTGTTTGAAGATGTATTCACACTATTTGAAGTATTGTATGTGTACATGCGTTACACATGCTTTATTTATCAGTTATGCATTTTTTGATATTTTTTGATGATGTACTGAATAAGTCTGTGTGGTGATATAGTTATATATATTTGTTTGGTGCTTTGTATATATAACCACTACACATTGGTTATAATATCTGCTCAGAATTTATTATTGGGAGCGCTTCGCTGTATTTTTCTTTTACTATTATTTTGAGTTTTTTAGTGGTAGCTGCTTCAAGGTAATGAATATTCTTACTATGTAGTTTTTTTTTTTTCACTTGTACACTTGGTGGGTTATATTAAGGTGTGTCATTAGCATGAGGATTTCCTTTTTATATTTAAAACCTAGAAATAAAGCAAGCTTTGCTTTATCTTTTGGCTTGGGTAATTTGGGTATAGCATCAATGTTGGATTGTAAGAGTTGTATACCCAGTGATGAGAGTCTGTGGCCTACAAAATCAACCTCAGTTTGCGAAAAAAACACACATATTTCTTAATTTAGGGTGAGGTTATATTCCATCTGTCTGTGAAAAACTTGTGAAAGGATTGAATTATGTTCCTCCAGAGAGGGTGTATGGATAAAGATACTCAGGTAAATTGTTATACCAGGTATTTCTGCAAAAACAGTGTCCATTATTTTTTGTAAACAGCTTGAAGAGGTGTACAGCTCAAAAGGCATGCGTTCAGAGCAGAAAAGTCCCAGATGCATAATGAAAGCTGTTAGCATTCTATCCTGCAATGCAAGTGGGATTTTGTAAATAGCCTTTACGGAGATCTAGTTTAGTGAAGATTTTTCACCCATGGCATTTGGAAATAAATCCTCTGTGGTAGGCAGTGGGTAACAGTCCAGTATTGATTTATTTACCAG